TCCTACCCCTCAGCCCAAGGGGAACCATTGTAATTTGCATATCCATCTATATCTTTTTGTGTGCTTGCTTGTATAGACTATATGTATTATTTAAAGAAACAAAATATAGTTTTTTAAATAAATGAGATGTTACAGGTTTGTTCTATGAGTTCCCTTTTTGCCTTTAAACTCTGTATGTGACTTTGAAAATGGCACTTTTTACTTTTCAGAAAAACAATTGCAAAAGGAGGTAGAAAAAGTAGCTCAGATGGTGGCAAGGGTCCTTTCCAGCTGACTCTGCATCTAGCCCCTTGCTTAACACACGAGAGGGAACTGAAAAGGCCAGAGATGCAAAGTGACCTGCCCACAGTCACCCAGGAGTTACAGGTGCGGCCAGGTTGAGGGCTGAGCTTCCCCCTTCCAAGCTCAGTGTCGCTCTCCCAACCTCTAGAGAAGTTAGAGGTTAGACTCTCATCCTGTGGGGGACCCAGGGACCCAGGGCCTTGCAGACTTTGTCTTGGAAGCTCCCCCAGCCTCCCCCAGAGCTCCAGCCCTTCCTTCCCTGCACGGCTGCCTTCCCCCTCCCAACACCAGCCACCCTCTAGCCCTGGGGCGTGGCCATAAAATGTGCAGTGGCTACAGGGAGAGAAGTGAAACAAGAGGGTCTACAATGGGATGAGGGTTATGAGTTCAAAGGGTCTTCCTGCTTCTCACTCTCTGGGCGATAAAAGACAACAGAAGTAATCATTTTCTCTACCACACTTCCAGACACAGCCTTGTTTAGGATGCTATGGCAGTGCTTCCATCTCTATACTATTATTATCCTGGTGTGTGCATGTGTGCATTGTGTATCTGTGTATCTACATGTGCCCAGGTCATGCTGGGGTTCTCTAAAGATAAGCACCAGACATATTCATTGTGGCGTCCCCACCGCGCAAAAAACAGAAGAACTGGCATTCGAGGTAAGACCCAAGGCTTGTCTTTGACAGAGAGTGATGTATGTGAGAAAGCATCCCCAATACATCAAACCTCCTAGTTTTCAGTCACCCATTAATTTGTGATCTATTAATTTATTTAAATTCTATTCACCTTTTCCATTTCAGCCTCTATTCCTTATGGTGTAAAAATGAGTCACTTGTTTAAACGCAACTCTTTACTTTGACTGCTTAGAGATAATTAGCCTCTCCACAGTGGCCAGTCCAGTGTGGAAAACAGCAGTCCTTTTATCTGTACTTATATAGTATGAATTTCTGTTTAAAATGATGTACCAGAACATCTCTCCCAGCCACTCCTCATCCAGCCACCTGGCAGGAGGCTTAGAAGTTCACCATTAGAAGTTCATTCCTTTGGGCGAAGGCAGGAATCATCCACCTTGTCGCTGGTGCCACTTAAGTCACTGCCGTGGGGAGTTCTGTCCTGTGCACTAGAGGCTGTTGAGCAGCACCCCTGACCTCTACCTACTAGATGCCAATAGTACCTCCTGAGTTGTGGCTATCAAAAACTCCTCCAGATGTTGCCAAATATCTTCTGAGGGAAAAAGTTACCTCAGTTGAGACCATGGGGCTGAGGATTGTCACTAGTAATAATAGAAACACTCTGAAGAAGGACGACCCTCATTAGTTACACATGCCTTGGTGTTTACCAGACCCTTTCCAAGGGCACCCATTGGCTACGAGCAGCATGGGTGGGGGGGAGTATTTAGAAGAACTCTTTCTCACTAACCCCCTTTTGGATTCTTCATGGACCTGTGGGAAGAAGGTTCACCCAGCAATCCCCTCTAAACGATGCTTGGGAGAAGACCCCCCTCACCACCATACACATTCTGAGGGTCCATGGGGCACTTAGTCCAGGTCTGGTGTTGCCCAGTAACCAGTAGTGAAACCAGTAATACTTTAATGAAGCTGGCAAAGAGCACGAAAGGAAAGAAGCAGAGACAATGCCCTGGTCACAAAGAACTCATGGATTCCTCGCTCCTGTGAGTCTCTCTTCATCCTCTCGGAGAAGGCTGAGTAGGCATAATAACCACTTATGGATAAGATTGTCAATCATGGTCCAGCTGGGAAACAGGAAACACTAAGTCTTTCAAACAGAGGAAATTTAACACAGAGAATTGGTACACGGCTGATGGAAAAGGCAGCAGGAGACTAGGAGGCAACCCAGAAAACAGCAAAGCAGGAAGCAGCTACCATGTCTAGGGCTGGAAAGGCAGCAGGGTAATGTCACATTGTAGACCCAGAGCCTCTAGAGCCATGTGCTACGAACTATCCTACCAGGCAGTGGGGGGCAGCCTGGGTAGGATATGGGATTATGGAAGGAGAGAAGGAACACAACCAACTGCAGGTGATATCAGGAAGCAAAGAGGGGTGCGGTGGAAGGGGGGAGTGGTGGAAGGGGGTCCTTGACTAGGAGGTGATGGAGAAACCCTCTGAGTTCTTCCTTCTTTCCACCCACCTACCCTCCACCTACCTGTCTTCCTATTGGCTGGACCAAACAAGCAGCCAGAGTGAAAAGGAGTCTGGGAAATGTAGTTTCCAGTAGTGATACAACTCAGAAGAAGGGAAGGGTGGAGAACAGATCTGCAAGGAAACAAGCCATTGACTGGCACAAATAAAAAAGCCTCACATAAGTGAAGTGAGGGGGCCAGGATTAAAGTCCCTATCTTAGGGCTCTTTCCTTAGGACCCAGAGAGTCATTGCAGGCTGAAGTGAGAGCATGAGATTGGCAGCAGAAGGAAGGATATGTGGTAGTCCAGCCAACTGGGCTTGAGAAGGGCCTGAGGTAATGCGTACTGCAAAGCAAGGAACTTGGACTAGGAAGGGCATGCAGGAACACTCTGGGGTGTGGGAAATGTTTTGGGGAGGTACACAGGATATAGAAAAGTGAAAGTCATTGATTTGTGTACATACAATGAGTGTACTTTCTGCACTCCTTCATTTATAAGCTATACCTCAAAAGAAAATGAGTTGCTGCCATTTAGAGTAAAGTCCTGAAATATTTTCAAATGAAATGACATATGTCTTGGATTTGCTTCAAAATAATTAGGGTAGATTAGATGAGTGGGGGAGGGTTGTAAGGAAGAATAAGAAGCGGGGAATTGGCAATACTATTTTCTCTCCTTTTGTGTATGTATATTTATGTGTGAATTTCCACAATAAAAAGTAAAATGGAAAAAAAAGAGGAAAAAGGATCTAAGCCCACTACACACATGTACCTTTATGCACTTAAGAGCACAGTGATAGTCCAGTCTTGGCCCCCAATTCCCCTGACCTGAAAACGGCTGCAATCCTGAGAGTCCATGCTGTTCTGATATTTGTTCTGTTTCCAGGAAGCCTTGGACTGTTGTATAAATGCAGCAGAGTGCAGGTCCTATGCCCGCCCAGGGGGGACAGTGAAATGTCTAAAGTGCAGGCAGGCCCCTCCACCCCGCATGAGCCCTCCTTCCCAGGCACACTCCTGCACCAGGACTTCCCAGATCCATCACCTGGAGCCTGCCCAGCCAGTCAGACCAACCAGGGTAAGGATGAGCACTGAACTGGGCTCTCCGGGGCCCAGGTGACATATCTCAAGAGAGTAAGTCAGCCCCTCGCACTACGGAGGGCGCCCCTGAATCACAAGGAGTCAGTGTGATTTCTGGAATGAGCTGGGACCCAGAAATTGGTAGCCCTGCACTGGCCATCTGACACCAAGACACCATTCCTTTGTTCCATGAATATGTACTGGACACGAGGTGTGTCAGACTCTGTGCTAAACGCTGGGAAGCCACACTTAAAGATTCAGCCCAGGCCATTGCAGAGCTCACAGTAAGACCAAGAGCCAGTAAGCAGCAGGTGCCAGAGAGGTCTGTGCAGCCTGGGGCGGGTATGCCCTGATGAACTTCGAGGACAGGTGGGACTTAGCCAGGAGTACAGTTTTAAAGACCTGACATAAGAGGGGAGGGGATAGGCAACTGAAAGTCACTCCAGGGGCACTGTGAATGGGCTCTAGGGAAATCGTGAGAAAGAAAGGGACAGCCACTAGACTAAGCCCCACTGGAATCCTGGTCTCTTGTTCTTTTTCAAGATTTTATTTATTTTTAGAGAGGATGGGAAAGAGAAAGAGGGAGTGAAACATCAATGTTGGTTGCCTCCCATGTGCCCCATACCAGGGACCTGGCCTGCAACCCAGGCATGTGCCCTGACTGGGAATCAAACCAGTGACCCTTTGGTTTGCAGGCTGGCACTCAATCCACTGAGGTATACCAGCCAGGGCTTGGTCTCTTCTACCTGAGCCTCTGTCTCTTCATCCTTCAGGTGAGGGGCTAGGTTGGGTGTGCTCTCGGCTCCCTCCAGTTCAAAGGGATTCACAGGCTCCTGTGTGAGGAACCTGGGACAGAGGGCTGGAGGGCTGCGGCTGTCCTACTTGTTGGAAACTCAGTCCATTCATCCTACCCCTTCTCTAAGGACAGGGGAGCAGGGGCTGCCCCCTCTGGAGTGTCTTGTAGGTGACCTGCGCCCATCAATGTGTGGACTGGCTGGATCAGGGGAGGGGGAGGACTGGCTGGTTTGTTATCCCTTTGCAATTTATCTTAAAAAGTCACACAACAGGGCAGAAACGCAGAAGTCCAGATAGTCTGCCTTCCAGGACTTCCGGTTTCCAGACGTTGCGCCTCGCCGGCTGTCACTAGGTCTCTGCCCTCTCCAGTTTGGCAGTCCCGGGCCCACCATTTTTCAGATCTGGCACCCATCTGGATATGGCTCTGTCTCAAACTCCATCTCTTCTTGTCACTTCTACCCCAGCTGGACTCTTGAGGCTTATCTGAGGATTGTCCACTGGCTCTGCTGCCCCTGTCCCACCAGCCTGGCATGTCCCTGCAGTCCTCCTCTCCCATTCAGGCTTCCGAAGAAGGGAGGAGGCCTGGTTCCGGCCCGCTGCCCTCACGTGCTTTCCCGGCGGCCCCCTCCCACTCTGCATCAGAGCAGCCAAGCCTGTTCCTCTTCCCGATTGCAACAGGCGCGGCCTCAGCTCCCAGCGCTCCCTGTCCCCGCCCCGTGGCTGGTGAGCTCCACTCCCACTTCCTGAGCCTGGCCGCTGGAGCCCTGGAGGCCAGGCCAGGCCCGGCCGCTCTGGCCCCCGGGGGGACACCAGCCTGAGTCCTGTCCCAGCCCCTGGGCTCCAGAGGCTGCTGCCACCACTGCCCAGGAGGTCCAGGCCTCCCATCTTACTCCTAGGCCCTCCACCCATCTGGTCGACTGGCCGCCATGCGCCGGCCTTGGGCCGCCTCCCACTGTGGCCTGGCCTGGGGGCCACTCATACTAGGCCTCTTCAGTCTCCTGGCAGCATCCCAGCCCCGACTGGTGAGGGAGGGGCCGTGCAGGTGGGTGGGGGCAGGCTTGGATAGGGAAGAGGCGTCTGGGCAGCTCCCTCCCTGGTGTCTCTGCCCTTCCCAACTGGCCCCTGAATAATTCTTCCCCTGCGTCCATCTCCCCCTGGAGGTGCCCCCATACTACATGGAGAACCAAACCTGCCGGGACCAGGAAAAGGAGTACTACGAACCCAAGCACCAGGCCTGCTGCTCCCGCTGCCCCCCAGGTGAGAGGCAATGGAGACAGGAAGCCTGGGACCGGGTGGCGTGTTACAGGGGACTCCAGTCCACCTCACTGCCTCAGGAAGAAGGCAGACACCATCTCCCAGGAAAACCAGCCGGTGGAGATTGAGTGAGAGACACTGGCCATCCCTCATATGCAGGCACTGAGAGGACAGGCCCAGGGTCACACAGCCGGCGGCAGAAGGAAGGTGGAGCCCTGGTCCTCTGACACTCCGACTGCCCCACTCACATTCTAGGCACTCATGTCTCAGCTGAATGTGGCCACGGCCAGGACACAGTTTGTGCCACGTGCCCTGAAAATTCCTACAACGAGCACTGGAACCATCTCCTCTCCTGCCAGCTGTGCCGCCCCTGTGACCAGGGTGAGTGGGGTGTCCCTGAGGAGGGCTGGGATCCCCTGGAGGGCAGCCCCTCCACTGAGCTGTCTTGTCTCCCCACAAGTGCTGGGCTTCGAGGAGACTGCACCTTGCACTAGCAAACAGAAAACCCAGTGCCACTGCCAGCCAGGAATGTTCTGCAGCCTTTGGGACAGGGAGTGTATACACTGCGAGCCACTCTCTGACTGTCCACCGGGCACTGAAGCTGAGCTCAGAGGTCAGAGGTCACCAAGGACAAAAGGTAGGGAGGAGGCTGGGTGCCAGGTGATCTTGAATGGGGGCAGGGAGCCCACCGAGGGCACTGTGTGCATGGGGAGCCTCCAAGTCGTTTTCTTTGGTATAAAAAGCCTTTTCTCCCTTCCTGTGAAAGGCTCACAGAAGGGATCTGTATGCAGAGAAATGGAACTGGGACAGGGGCAGGGACAGTGTGGAGGGCCCCCTCAGCCCTGGGGACACTGAGCAAGGGGGAGGTGAGGAAAGGTGCCAGATACAGAGGGGCCATCCAATGGGCATAAAGGGAGCTCCCAGCTGGGCAACAGGCTCCTTTTGCCCACTCATCCTGGCTGGCCTTGCTGCTCTCTTGCCAGGTGAAGTTGGGGAGGCTAGAAACAACTGCGTACCCTGCAAAAAAGGGCACTTCCAGAACACCTCCTCCCCCAGCGCCCGCTGCCAGCCCCACACCAGGTGAGTGTGGCTGTGTTCCTCCCACCCTCCAGAAGCCCCAGCTGCTGACAACCCCACCCCAGTGCTCGACTCTGTAGGGTCCTCCTTGCCACCTGCCCCTTCCAACTGTGTACCCTCATGAGTTGGGCTGTTCTTTCCTCCACAGGTGTGAAGACCAGGGCCTGGTAGAGACAGCGCCAGGTACCAACCAGTCTGATACCAGATGCAGAGATCCATCAGAGACCCCCGAGATGCCAGGTGAGGGGCCAGGGCTGAGGGGCATGCAGGGAAGGATCTGGGAAAATGCCTTAATTCCTCCTATCTGAAAAAGCGGGGGAAAGATGAGTCCTTCCCTCTCAGAATGGGGGCAAGAAGAAAAGTCCCTTCGAGAGAAATTGGAGGTCCCCAGGGCAGCTTACTTTACACATGCATGCACACCGCTCGTTTTAAGTTACGTGTTATACGTATGATATGACATTATGCCAAGAAACACTCCCACACTGATGTGTAACTGACATCACCTTTTGGGACATACCACCACCATACAATCCATTTACTAGGCTGAATACCTCATTAGGTTACACACTTTCTTGTTAGACAGCTAATTCCACATTTGACTTTTTTTTGGTTTTGTTTTTATGCGGAGTACTGGTTTCCTAGCCTAACAGACAATTACAGGATGTTTCTAATGATTATAATCATTATTAATGGGAGGAGAGTTTATTTTATCAACTTTTTCAATTAGCAAAAATATACAATCCTAGCTTTCATTTACTCAGAGCAAGCCCATCAGGCGCTCTGCGAACGCTCGACACTTACCAGTTCATTGAATCCTCCCATTGATCCTCTGAAGTAGTTCTACTGTCATCCTGCCTGACAGGACACGGAAAATGAGGGTCAGAGGCTACGTGACTTGCCCAAGGTCACCCATGTGGTGGCCAGTGTTGTGAAGGCCTGTCCTCAGGTCTTTTCACTTTGTAATGCACGCGCACTGGAGAATCTTAGACAAATCAGGTGTGTAAACAAAACATCACCCACAGAACCAACACCTAGCATAGCCACTCTTTAAAAGTTTTTAAATACATCCTCACAAACATTTTTCTTTGTATGTCCGTCCATTTACATTTTTTTCTAAAAATGGTGTTATTTGAATATATCGTAACCTCACTTTTAACTCATGTATATCATAAATATGTCCATGTCCTCTTATTAATGTTTAACTATATATCAGGTACAATTGGCACTTTAGAGGGTCTAACTCCCTCATTTTATATATGAAAAATACTGATGCTCGAAGAGGTGAAATGACATAAATAGTCACACAGCTGGGCAGGAACCCAGGTGTCCAAGACTCCAGGCCCAATTTCTTCCCATGCTTCCCATTCTGTGCTCCCTTCAGCCACAGCTTTAGGTGGACTGGAGAGGGCCAACGACCAGGATGCAAATGTCCAAGTCTCCCTGAGCTCCCTCAGGCATGGCCCACGGGCGCCGCAGACTCCATGCTATGGATGGCAGCACTGAGACCCATAGAAAGACAGAAATTATCAATGTGGGGTCTGCCCCACATTGGGTCCTGAGGAACTGAGCCCCCAGCCTCCTGTTCTCACTCCCTCCTGGAACCTGCAAAAGGGGGGAGACTTTGCAATTCCTGGTCTCCCAGGCAACTCGAGGCAGAGTTGAGAAGGGAGGCTGTCCCACTCTCCTGCCTCTCTGAACACCCCGCAGGTACAGAGGGGCCCTCTCAGCTCCTACAGTGGCCTGTCTGTAAGATGGGCAAGGCCACGGCAACATGGTTCTACCCAGTGGCCTGAGTCTGCCCACAGCTCCAAGCCTCACTCTCCCTGAACTGCCTCCCACCCCCACTTGCAGCCCTTGAAAATCAACCGCCCAGGCTCCTGTCCTCACACAGCAGGGACGTGCACTGCCCCACACATCACCACCTGTGACAGTTTCTCCTGGCCATCGGGAGGTCTCCCCACGTCGAACTGAACTGAGTTCCCTTCTCTGCAACCCAGAGAAGTGTCTCCAGCTCTGCCTGTAGGAACTCCAACAGGACTAAGAGGGGAAAGCTGCTCTCTCTCCCTCTGCCCTTCTTCCCCCATGGTGATGCCTCCTGCTTGCTGTCCTGGCAGGAACCTTGCTGGTACTGGCCATCGTGCTGCCGCTGGTCTTCTTGCTGCTCATCGCCTTCACCCTCGCCTGCACCTGGAAGAGCCACCCCTCCCTCTGCAGAAAGCTGGGTAGGAAGGGGTCAGATGCAGGCAGGGATGCAGGGCAGTCGTCAGCTCCACCTGGATGGGGAGCAGGTGGGAGGGTATCATCAGCTTCCCCCGTACAACCTACCTGCCCTTCCACACCCTCAAGACTCCCAGTGCCTGTCCCCAGCACGGACATCGTCTCCATCCGGCATCCCACTCTGAGGCTAGAGATAACAGTAATGATAGCCTATTCCTTGTGGGACCCCCGGCTGGGCAGCGACACATTGTGGTGGCATGTGGAGGGTAAAAGGTTGGGCGTCTGAGCTCTGCCAGAGGCCCTACACCCATCTTGTTTTCATTGCAGGATTCCTGCTCAAGAGGCGTCCAGAGGTAATGAGGAAGGCTGAGGAGGGGCAGAAAGGGAGAGTGAACAATGTGGGGGTAGGCAGGAAAAGAGTGTACAGGCTTCACCATTCATTCATTCATTCACTCAACGAATAACTTTTTAGCACACCATATGCTAGGCACTGCTCTCGGCACGTGGACACAGCAGTGTGTAAAACAAAGTAACTGCCCTCCCAGAGCTACATGCCAATGGAGCAGGGATAAAGTGAAATAAATACGCATCAGGTGGTGATAACTGATACATAAAGCAAGACGGAGGCAGTGACTGACAGTGGTAGAGGAGGGGGTATATTATCTTAGTGGACAGAGAGGGCCTCTTTGGTGAGCCGGTATTTGATCAGAGCACTAAAGAAATGAAGGCATCGGGGTATCCAGGGAAAGCACTCCAAGAAGCAAGAACATCAAGTGCAAAGGCCTGTGGCAAGGAGCAGGAGAAGGAGCAGAGGGGAACCCCGGGCTGCCTGAGCTGGGGTAGGGTGTGGGAATTAAAGATAGATGGGGTCTGAGACACACACCATTGGTTGATTCACTGCTTCTCTTCTGCAGGGAGAGGAATCCAATATTACTGATGGAAACTGGGAGCCTCCAAGTGTCAACCCACATTTTCCTGACCTCGTAAAGCCACTTCTGCCCATCCCTGGAGACTTACCTCCAGCCCCGGCCTGGCCCCCAACGACCCCAGCTTTGGAGGAAGATGCTGTACAGCAACAGAGTCCTCTGAGCCAGGCCAGGAAGCTGGAGGCTGAGCTACCAGACCATGGCCAGAAGGCCCACGGTGAGCAAGCTGCAGGGAGAGGAGTGGGTCGGGGAGATGGGTGGGAAGGATAGTGGGCAGGGAGAGAAAGTGGGAGGCAGACAGAAATGAGAAGACTAAAACAGGCAAAACAGAGACTCGGACAGTCAGCCAGAGTGTCCCAACCAGAAAGGAAGAGACTGAAAAACCCACAAACAGATGTGAGTGTAGAGCTCAAGAGACCAGTAGCAAATAGGAGTGGGAACAGAGAGGAAAGGGAGAATGCAGAAGGAAGGCCTTCGGGACGCAGGGGGCACACTGCGTGCGCAGGGGGCAGGCAGGAGGCCTTCCTCCCTCAGCAGTGGGCCCCCAGTCCCTCTCACTCTGCTCCCTTCCCACAGGTACCAATGGTATTCATGTCACCGGCGGGTCTGTGACTGTCACTGGCAACATCTACATCTACAATGGGCCAGTACTGGGAGGAGCACGGGGCCCTGGGGACCCCCCTGCTCCCCAAGAGCCTCCGTACCCCATCCCTGAAGAGGGTACCCCTGGTCCTCCTGGGCTCTCTACACCCTACCAGGAAGATGGCAAAGCGTGGCACCTAGCCGAGACAGAGACACTGGGGTGCCATGCCCTCTAACAGGGCCAAGGACCCAATTTGTCACCCATGCTTCATGGTGTCTGTAAGAAGCCAGAAGAAGGGAGGCATAAGAGCACCTCCTCACGGTGGCTGCCCTACCCACGGATTGACAGAGGGCCTGGGTGGAGCCCCTGAGAGGCAAACCCCAAGGGGCTGGGCCTCAGACACATCCTAGAGAGCGGGCCGGGCACTGGCTGGGTACAGTGCTCACCACAGGACTCTCACCACCGCCTGAGCAGGCCTGGGACTTCACTGCAGACCCTCCCGCTCACCGGGGCTGCACCAGCTCAGCTTCAGGCACAGACAGAGCACATGGTGCCTGCTGCTGCCCATCCTGGCACTCTGCACTCAGAGCATGGCACAGAAGGGGGCCAGCCATGCGGTCACTTGCAAGGACATCACTGGGACCTCTAACAGATTCGTGGTGCTCATCCCCAAGCTTCAGAGGCGCTTCGAGGGCCCACACTTCACACGGACTGAGGTAGACCCTGTATGAGGATGCAGTTACATGGAGGATCACCCCTCCCCGCCCAGAAAAGAAAGGGAGTCGTTAAAAACTGTGGTTTGGGGTAGGGTTTCTAGGTGAAGGGAGAGGAGTTTCAGAGGGGGAAGAAAATGGCAAATGTATTTATAAATTGTAACCACATGCAAATAAAGTGGAGATTGAGACCTAGATCATTTCTTCTCTGGGGATTCACATGAAAATACTATTCCACTGGACAATGTCAGGGCAAAGGTCAAAACATTGCAATGTAATCCCACATTTCTGTGTGGGACTAGTGCATGCAATTCAGTCAATAACAATATTAGCCAGTGATCACTGACAACGGGCCAGGCAGTGTTTAAATGCTTGACAATAATAGTTTACGTAATCCTCACAACACCCCCTATGAGCTAAATACTATCAGTGTTCCCATTTAATGGTTGAGGAAACTGAGGCACAGAAAGGGTATGCATGCTCCCAAATCAACTGCAAATGGCAAAATCGGGATTTGCACCCCGTTAGCCTGGCTCCAGAGGCTTCGGGGCTGGGGGGAAATCCACACACCACACCCTTCCAGGATTCCTTTGCACGAGTAAAATGGGCTGGTTTTCTTAAAAAACCAGATCCCCTGCATGTTCCGCAGGTGCGGAGTCTCACAGCCACAATGCAGAGCGAGTGAAAGAGTGCTCTGCGGGGTTGATGGAAGGGGAAAATACGACTTGAGTCGTAAAATGCGAGAGGCCAAGTCCCCATCCTGCCAGCACAGAGACCTAGGCGGGACTCCTTTCCTTCAGAAGGAGCACTCGTGGTTTTAACTTTGTTTACTTATTTTTGTCTTATTTTTTACCCAAAAGGACTTTAAATCTTCTCAAGGTCTCTTATTAGTAAATGTCTGGGCCCCCAGAATTTATTTACCATGCTGCCCAGTGGAGCCGATCTTAGCTTGAAGGACTGTGAGGAGAACAGCTGCCAGCTTACCGCTCCTTCCATAAAAGGCCACCATCTGGGTCCAATGTTAAGAACTCTGTTGCTGGGGCTTGTCATGATGGTGTGGCCATAAAACACTTACTCCAGGAGTCGTCCAATCCAAGTGAAGGGAGGGGTTACTTAAGGTTGACCACGAAAGGATTCAGTCCAACTTCCTTGGTTGAGAAGTAAATAATGACGAGCTGTATCTGGTCTCGATAGTTAAATGCTCCTGACTGGCAGTACACTAGAGCCAGACAACAAGAATCCTTAGTAATTGTTCCAATGTGTTTAGATACAAAACAAATTTTACATAATTTGCAGCAAAATAAAAGAAAAAACGTTTTAAAGAAGTGGTGCTGCGGCACAGTTCTGCATGACACCATTCAAATTTAGGATTACATCTGCCTGTATGAACTAGCTAGGGCCTCCCTAACAAAGTATTGCAAACTGGGGACTTACACAACAAAAAAGTATTTTCTCACTGTTCTGGAGGCTGAAAGTCCAAGATCGAGGTGTCGGCAGAGCTGGCTTCTCCTGAGGAGGCCTCTCTCCTTGGCTGGCTGATGGCGTCTCCCTGTATCTTCATAAGGTCTTCCCTCTGCGTGTGCCCGTGTGTGTCTATGTCCTAACCTTCTCTTCTTATAAGGACACCAGTCATACTGGATTGGGGCCCACCCTAAGGACCTCACTGTAATTTAACTATCTCTTTAAAGATCCTATCTCCACAAACAGGTCATGTTCTGAGGCCAGAGGGTTAGACCTTTAACACATGAATTGTGGGAGACACAGTTTAGCTCACAACGCTGCCCATCCTTATCTTGCCAGTGTTGAGTTTATACAGGCCCTGGGAGCACACTTTATATTGAGGGGAGCTCCTGCCTAGAATGAAAGCTGACAGAAAAGTCAGTGAAGACAGAATCTTGACAGTTGTCTTCAAAAGACAGAACCAGATGCAATAGTAGTTAATAGGATAATTAAGCCTGAATCTAGGTGGTCTCTCACACATCATTTCTGAGAATCTCACTCCCATACCACACAGAGGAAAAAGCCAATACTGCATCTACCCAATGTCAACATGGGCACGGGGAGGCCAGTGAGGAGGCTAAGACAGCAACCCAGGAGAGAGATGGATGTAACTGCGTACAGAGCGGCGGCAGTGGGACGTGGCGGGTAGTAGGGCTGAGATAACGAAGGATTTCTCTTGTTTGAAAGATGGAGTGGTTCACATTGACAGCTGTGATGGACTCTTTCTGTGACCTACCCAACGAACTTCCACCCCTTTCCTGGAAACAGAATCCCACCTCTGTACTAAGGCAGGCACTGCATGATATTGGGAAGCCCTTCCTCTGGTCCCAGGAGTCAGTAAAACCTGTTGCCCTTTGCCAGAAATTGGTTTAGGACAGAGCCCGGGATCCTTTTCAGGCCAAAGACACGTACTGGGAAGTCTCATTCCCAGGGCAAAAAACATCATTAGGAAAAAGTTTGTGTTTTCCTTTCTTGTTTGGGGGATGTTTGTTTGAGAACATGAGCCTGAGCTGTGGCAGCCATCTTACTATCATGAGGAAACAGCCCTGGAGATGAAAAGCCAATTCTCTGAGGGTGGAGGTCCCAGAAGAAAAACAAGAATCTGGTTCATGAGGCATCCTTGAACAGCTGAATCTACCGTCAGTGTGGGCTTCATTTCATGAGAGAAAAACAAACCCCCACTTGTGTAAATCATAGTAAGTCAACTTTTCCTCCCTTTTTTTGGTTTTAATTTTCTGTTTCCTCTTTTGGGACAAGTGATTTATTCATGTGGTTCAACATTCAAAAAGCATCAAAGAGTAAACAATGAAATGTCTCTTTTCACTCCTGTACCTCAGCCACCATGGTCCCTCCTGCCCCAGAAGCAACCAGTGCGACCGCTTCCAATGCTTTCCCAGAGGTAACGTATGCATATTCAAAAATATACGTACACATATATTTCATTCCTCTTTTGTTCCTGCCAGTGGTAGCATGTTCTCTGCCTATTCTTCCCCTTGCCTTTTTCATTTGTCAAAGTAACTTGGCCATAAGCTTCCATATCAGTATCACAAAACTTCCTCCTTAATTCTCATATCCATATATGTCTCATTTTATATGGATGCATCATTTAACTAGATCCCTCTGAAGATTTTAAATTCATTTCCGATCTATTACAAACATTTTATAATAAATAACCTATGTGGTTTTGCATATGTGAGAGTGTTGTTATCAAAAATTTTGCTAGAAATAAAATTGTGGGTCAAAAATAGATGTATGTTATTTTGATAAATATTACCAAACTGCCCTCCAAATAGATTGAATGTCAGCAACACTTCAGTGTCCGTCATCACATACGAACGCCAGCATTGCTGTGCTATTAAACATGTTGACCTCTGCCAATCTGAAAGGTGAAAAATGTTACATCGATGTAATCATTCTTTGTACCTCTTATTGTGAGGGAAGTTTTTTATTTCACTGTGAGTAAACATTTTCCACGCTGGCTGGAGTGGCTCAGTGGATTGAGAACCAGATGGCAAACCAAAGGGTTGCTGGTTCGATTCCCAGTCAGGTCACATGCCTGAGTTGCAGGCCAGGTCCCCAGTAGGGGGCACACAAGAGGCAACCACACATTGATGTTTCTCTCCCTCTCTTCCTCCTTCCCTTCCCCTCTTTCTAAAAATAAATAAATGAAATCATAAATAAATAAATGTTCTTTAAAAAAAAGTAAACATTTTCCTATGTTAAAGAGTCATTTGTAACTTATTTTCCACTAATTATTCATATTTTTTTACTATTTTTTTACTGGATAATTTCCTAATGTTATCTTGTTATCCCAAATCATTGACTCAATAATAAATTTTCCTTCACTAATTTAAAATGCTACCATTATAAATCAAACTTGTGTATGAATTTGAATTTACTTCTGGATTTTCAATTATTTTCCCTCTGTCTTTTTAATTTGCTAGCAAAAGTCTTTCAACTATTTTAGCTTTATATTTTAATATCTATTAGGGCTCCTTTTAATCTCCTTTTTCAAAATTTTCCTAAGTATATTTTCTTATTTCTTATTCCACATGAACTTTAAGATCAACTTATCCAGAACCCCCCACCAAAGAACTCCTATTGGTATTTATATTGAGATTGCATTAAATTTCTTTTTTTAATTTTAATATTTTTGAAAAAATTAATTAGTTTTTATTTTTTAGAGAGAGGAGATTAAATTTTTTATTTTATTTTTAGAGAGAGGGGAAGGAAGGGAGAAAGTAAAGAAGAAAAACACTGGTGTGAAAGAGACACATCAACTGGTTGCCTCTCGCACATCTCCATCCAGGGACCTGGCTCGCAACCCAGGCACGTGCCCCCACCAGGAATCAACCCAATGAACCCACCTGCTCATAGGCTAGCACTCAACCCACTGAGCCACGTCAGCCAGGACCAATGTCATTTTTTTTAGATGTATCCTGGTTGTTACCTGGTTAGATGTATCAGTAGTTTGCTCTCCTTTAAAAATGTGGCTATGTAGTATTCCACTGTATGACGAGGCCAAAATTCATTTATCGGTTCCTCTGGTTCTTCCCAATTTAAGGGTTGTTTCAAATTTTTAGCAGTTATGAATAAAGTTATTACATTATTGTACATGTCTTTTTATAGACATTTCTACTCACTTCTCTTGAGCATCTACCTAGAAGTAGAATTGCTAAATCATAAGGCAGAAATATATAAAGTTTTAGGAAATACTGCTAACACATTTTTAGTTGAAATATATTTGACATATATCATGTGTAAATATAAGATGTACAGCATGTGAATTGATACATATGATTGCCATTGCAGTGACAGTTCATGCTTCTGTTATGTCACATACATATCCTTTCTTTTAAGTGGTTAGAGGAACTGAGTTCAAGTCTCTTGGCAAGTTTGATGATGATAACACAACATTACTGTCTATATTTATTCTACTGTGTTTTAAGATCTCTAGGACTTATTCAGTACTCATTGAAAGTTTGTACCCTTAGCCCTGGCTGGTGTGGCTAAGTGGACTGAGTGCTGGCATGAGAACCGAAGGGTCACGAGTTCAATTCCCAGTCAGGGCACATGCCTGAGTTGTGAGCTAGCACCCAATAGGAGGTATATGAGAGGCAACCAAACATTGATGTTTCTCTCCATTTCTTTCTCCCTCCCTTTCCCACTCTATAAAAATAAATAAATAGACTTCTGG